CTGAGCCCCTCCCCGACGAGCCGACCCGGGGCCTCCCGCGTCGGACGCGGTCACAAAAGTAGCGACGAGGGGGTCAAGAGGCCAGATCGCAATGTGCTACGACGCTGAGGCACGGAGAATCTTGACAACCTCATTCGCCATTAGTGCACCCGCGACTGTCGGCTCGGGCAAAGCCGCCGCCAACAGCGAGGCACTGCCACAAACGTCTGGGCGCGATTCGCGCGCCAGCCACTACATCTGGGCAACGGTTGTCCGATAGGGCGAAATCTCAGCGGCAGTCAAATTACTAGAGGCCTCCCCGCGACGATGCTTGTCGAGAGCCACGGGGGTCAACTGTTCACGGACGTACTTTTCTTGATCGACGATTATCTTCGCACCCTTCTGCTGCATATGACGCCCCGCATAGTCAGCCTCTCCGTCCTCCCACTTCCCGAACTTGAATCGCTCAAAAAGGCGCCCCTTCAAACGCGGGAGCACCTTAGCGCCTCCGGAAACTATCAAATCGCCCACCTCAATGAGCACCAGAGGCTGAAGCCGACCGGAGTCGGACCTTTGCAGCCACAAACACGGCTCTAAAAGCGAACGCTTGAATCCGATCTCGCTAAGGGACTCTGCGAGGGTCCTATGCCAAAGCAGCGGCGCGTCGTTGAGGCCGCACACTGGCGCCACAAGCTCGATAAGGGTTTCACCTGGCAGACCGAGGCCCGAGCAAGCCTCGACGCACATCGCACCCTGGGGCCTAACCAACTTGTCGCTTTGGCAGAAGGCATGTTTCGCATCAGCGATCCCAAGACACCACTCCATGGACGCGATCACTTGCAGCACTAACATGATAGACTCCGACTGGGGGGCGGGCGCGTACACCTGGAGCGCATCACCATCAGGGCCCTGGTGGCCATGCACGCACCATCTGCTTTTAGCCGTCGGGGGATTCCCAAGCCCCTTCTGAGAGCTTAAACCTTCTCACCATTCGCGACGACAGGACGCGGTCCGGGCGGCGTCGTCGCGCCAAGCGCGACTCCTCCAAGCTGAGGACGCGCACAGCGCCGGACGCGGTCATCGCCGCCCATCCCTTAGCGTCTGACGCCACAAAACGCTCTCTCTCCTCTGGGGTCCGGATTTTCAACTGGACCTCGGCGCCCCGTCGAGGCACGGGCGGGCTCGCGAGCCCCAAAGACAGTCCGGCAAATCCGAGAAAAAGGAATCCCCTCCCTCGAGGGTCGTGAGAGGGGCGTCGCAAGTGAAACCTCGGGCCAGCAGCTCCTCGCACAGCATCCGGTCTCGATCGAGATCCTCATCCCCCTCGAAGTCCCCGAACGCCATCAGTCCCAGGACTGGTTCCCCCGTGACCAGATGTGGATGCCAGGTAGGCTGGGGCCAGTCACTCTCCCCGGGAGCGCCCGCCCCTCTCTCCCCAGACGGAGGGGGGGACCGGCTCCGACGACCCTCGGCCGCCCTTAAAACCTGGGGCTCCGCCCGAGCTGTGAGGCCCCTGCCACGATCCCCGAGAGCCGAGCCGGTACCTGCCGTAGCTCGAGGGGAAGAAACTGCGCCAGCGCCCTCGCGCTCGGACACCATCCAGGCAACTCTCCTCGAGCCGGAAAGAGACTCAGCAGGAGTAAGATACTGACCAGGAGCCCGCACTGGAACTGAAGGCGGTCGACGTCCGCACGCGACCCTCACAGCGTCCCTCTCCCTCCCCAGCTCGGCAAAGCTCGAAGAACACCGGAAATCGCCTCTCCTCCTGGACGGGGCCGGAACCCCCTCAGGAATGTCTTCCGCCGGCCTCCGCGGGGGCCTCGCCGCCGGTTCCTCGGGAGGTTCGGAGTCGGAGTCGATCGCGACAACCTCCGGGGGCTCCGGGCCTCTGACATACCGCCCCAGATCGAGAGACCTGGGCCCCTGGCGAGGGGCGTCCAAAGCTTGACGCAGATCCTCTGGCAAGGGTTGATGAGGCTCCGAGAGCTGCGGAGGGAAAGTAGACCCTCCCACCGAGGCTGGGGCCGCAGGGGCCTCCACCACGGCCGGGGGAAGGCCTGGGGCTCTCGGGGGCCTCCGAACCTCAGACTCCGCAGCGCCCAGATCGCCTGGAGCATCCCAGGCCTCGGGGGATGGGCCTCAGAAGCAACATCCACCGCGCCCACGCGCTTGCCAGGGTTCCCCAGGTCCTGCCGAAAACCGAGGGTTGTCGAGCAGCTCCGCGCCCAAGGCCTCGGGTCTCGTGGCCGGGCGGATCTGCTCAATCGAGCACTTCAAAAGGCGGTGACGCATCGCCACCCACACCGCGCTACGGGCCCGAAATACCACGGCCCCGGGACCTGTCCAGCGATCTCGCTGGAGATCGTGACTTCGGTTAGCCGACGTGATTTTCCTCCAGACGTACACCCACTCCCCTGGCTGGTAGACCTTGTCCATGTGTCTGCGGGCCTTAGAGGCCTCGGCGAGCCGATCGCGGGCATCATGAGCCGCTAGGGCCCGCTGCGCCTCGGACCCTAGCTGATGGGCCCGAGCGAAGGCCGCGGCCGCCGTGTCTTGATCCACGGCGCTGGTCCGGAGATCCTCGACCCCAATTTCGCCCACGGCATCGTCACTCAACATGGACCTCGGGACCCTGGGGTTTTCCCCGAACACTAACTGCGCCGGGCTATATCCTCCCCAATGGAAGGTACGGTTCTTGCCTGAAACAACCTCACAAAGCAGCATGTCCACCTCCTGACGGCTCGTCGGAGTGGCCGACAGCGAGGCCCGAGACACGGCATTCTTCACGATGCCACCGTGACGCTCACACTTGCCGTTAAAGTGAGGTGAGTTGGCGGGTATCACCTGCAAGTAGATCCCGTAATGTTCGCAGCCTCTCGAGAAGCTCCCTCCGAACTCGGCACCGCCGTCCGAAAGGATCACATCGGGAAGCCCAAACGGACGGATCCACCAGCGAGCGAGAGCCGCCCACTCAGTCGCTGAGCGATCGTCCTCTAAAAGACAGCACTGCTGGTAACTGGTGCCGTGGTCGACCATATTGAGAACCGGCAAGCTGTCACCTTGGAGCTCGAGGTAACACAGATCCACCGAAACCAAACGGTTAAAACGATACGTCCGAGGAAGATGGGCCTTCCTCCGCCAATGGGGTCGGGAATGCGAAGCACAATGAGGACAATGAAACTTGTGTTTCGCCCAGTGAAGAATCTCGGGCCGAGCTCCAGCTATTCGTAAAGTCCAAGCAAAATCATCCAACATAGGATGACCCAGGTTCACGTGCAGCTTCGAGATTTCCTCCTGGAGGCCCTTGTCTAAGGTCACGTCCTGGGGGTTCCCGGGGGCCCGAGCCGGCTGAGTAGCCGCTTCTTCGTCCTCGGAGGCCGGGGCGCCAGCACCATCCGCCCCGGGGCCCTCGTCGGACCGGGCCTCGATGCCTTCGGGTCCAGGACGAACGACCGGGGCACTCAGAGCGGCCTCGCGCCGCCACAGCGCCGACTCCAGCCCGTTCGCCAGCGCCGCCACGAGCTTGGAAGGGTAGCGCTGCGCCTTGCGTGTCCTGCCACTCCCTTCCAGAGGGAGGTGCTCGCGCTGCCCGGTGCACCTCCTACCACACTCCGGCAGAAGGGCCTCCTGACTAGCGAAGAACCGAATCGGCTTCTTGGAAATGGCCCCCGGGGCCACGGGAAGGCCGTACCGGCACTGGTCCAGGACGCGCGAGACCACCCCCGGCGAGGACGCGATCATCTTCACGCACTCCAGGTCCCAGGAGTTGGCTGATTCGGGATGTTCCAACACAAAATCTCGGCCAAGGGACATCTGATAAGCCGCTATCTCGCAGCACAGTTGCATGAAAGCGAGGCCCTCACGCTCAATCTCGCCCCTCTGACTCTGACTCATGCGGCCCCAATTGCTAGCAAAGGCGACGCTGAAGGCTCGACAAACTGGCGACATCGAGACGCACCGAGGCTGATCCCTCTTTATCAAGTCCCAAAGCCTCCTTACCCCCTCGGGGTTGTCCAGATCCCAGCCTGTCGCTGAGTCGACGGCAGGGGAGACTCGACACCCCCTCTCGGCCAGAAGGGCCGACACCCGGAGCGGAGAGATAACCTCGAGGAGGGCAGTGCCTCCACGTCGGGCCTCGGAAGAGATGAGCTGACGCCTTCTCCAGGCGTGCTTCTTGGCGACTCCCGAGCCGTCTAGGGCCTGGAGCGCCGCCTGGCGAACCTTACGTGGGACGGTGGGGGCCCCCAGCTCTTCCGAGATCCCCGCCATCCTCAGAGCCACGAACGCATCGGACTCGACGACGTAATACCTCCTAATCCCCTTAGGTCCCAGTCCGCCGCTGCCGGCCCCCCGAGCGGCCGATCGAGGCACACTATCTGCTAAGCTAGTGACACCTTCACCCCGAGCCCCAGGCCCGCTGAGGCCATCTGAGGCCGCGACTCCTCCCGACTTGTGCTGGGCTCCAGACCGACTGAGGCCATATGAGGCCGTGGCTTGCCTCCTCGCTTCTTCCTCATCCTCCTCGCGCTCCTCTCCCTCCTCTTTCTCCCGAGACGCCCAGAGATCGACCGAGCATTCTGAAGCCTTTTCCTGGCTAGGCTTCTCACCTAACTCCCTGCAACACATGTGTCGCCATAGCGAGTCCAGCAACACAGAGTCGCCGCGACGGACTCGAATCCGGTGCATGCCGGCAGGCATGAGAGCGCGATGCGGCCTGCCTCCGTTTTTGACCAGAGCGGCTCCGACAAAAAAGGCCGACCGATCTGCCTGCCCTAGGACGTGCGAGTGCCATCCGAGCTCGGCACTGACATGGCCGAGGGGGACCTCTCGAGCTTCGATCCGATCCCAGATGCCCCCGGCGCGCCCCGGGGCGGCAGGCCAATCATGGACCCGACGATCCCGAGCCATTTGGACGGAGAGATCGTGGAGAACGAGGTCGCTTATCTCGGAGGGAGCGAGCTTGCCGATCGATCGCTTCTGATCTATCTCAGGCCAGTCTCCTAGCGCGGCCCGAGAGCTCCTCAGAGGCGCGGGCTCCCCTCCAGGTCGCCCTCCTCCTGCTGCTCTGCCGCTGCCTGCAAGGCCCCCCTGTCTGCGATCCTGATCCGGTGCGCCAGCCTCATGATCTCCTCGTCGCTCATCGGGCCTGCCGGACGAACTGGAACTGTCGCAAGGCCCAGTTGAACCTCGGCGAGCTGCTGTGCCATGACGTGCATTTGGTCGAGCAAGGTCTTCATCTGGTTGGAGTGCAATTGCTGTGCCGCGAGTGCTGATACCGGCGGCGGCATCCTCCTGCCCGGGACGGGCGGTGGCGAATGCGCCGAAGGCTGCGCGCGCGTCGCCGGCGGGCTCTTCACTGCGGTCGGCGGCACCCCCGCCGGGAGGTCGGACGGCTCGGGCACCGATATCCTGGACTGGATGAGTCTCTTCGCCTCCTCGAGGTCCGCCCGAGAGCCCTGCCACTCCGACGAAGGGCTCGGACCGCCCGAGCTGCTGCTGGTGCCCGGGCCCCACTTCGGGCGGACCCCCGGCGCGGCGGGGCGCGGGGGCTCGCGCGGCGCCGGCGCTGCCGCCCAGGGGCCGCCCCGCGTGTAGCCATCCACCATGTTCTCGCGCTCCAGCTTCTCGAACTCCTGCTTGGCCTGCTTCGCCGACTCCTTCTTCGCGGCCTTCGCCTGCTTCTTCGCCTCCGCGGACGCCTTCTCGGCCGGCGCCTTGTCCCTCAGCGAGAGCCTGAGTTTGCGCATCCTGTAGTGGCTGCACACGCTCGTCGGGTTGGATCCTTCCTGCACTGCCCACGGCGGGCGAGGGCAAGCGCCCTGGTCGTCGAAGCGCATCTCGACCGCCGCTGGCCACATGATCGCAATCCCGTTGACGCCCACGCACCCCGAGGCGATGTGCACGAGCCTGAGCGCGAGCCTCCTCCACGAGAGCTGCGGCTTGATCAGGGCCGGGACGCTGTCCAGGAAGTTGTGCTTGAGCGGGATCGACATTTCCTCCTCCGTGAGGTCCAGTTCCTGCAAGGCTTCTGGCAGCCCCCCCCCCCAGTCTTCCAGCCCCTCGTCCCCCATCACGCGCCTGAGCGGCGCCGCCGAGCGCCTCCTCCGGAGCGGCTGCGCTGTCTTGGCCATCGGGTTGCCGAACTTCGACTTCACCATTCTGCCGACGCGCGCGACTGGTCGTCAGAGGATTCTGAGCCAAGACGGCTACGGAGTTCGATCCTGCGTCCTTGGTCGCTGCTCCCGGGACCCGACACCCCCCAACGCCGAAGAGAGAGAGGAGGGAGGAGGGATCTGAAGTCGCGCAGCTAGCTGCCCACCCCCCCTCAGGTCCTCGCGCACATCCGCCAGCACGCGCGACAGCACGTCGTCCGGCACGCAGAAGTCCTCGGGCTCGCAGTGGACCAGGCTCAGGGAGCTGCGCCCGCCCAGGTGGCGCACGAGAGGGTGCCGCACCTTGTCGCGGTCACCGAGCTCGATCTCGTCGCTCCCCAGGTCGATCAGGGCGCGCATCGACTCCAAGAGCAAGAGTCGAGCTGGAAGAAGAGGGGGGCATCGTCCAGGAAGCACTACGAACTCTACGATCCCGCACTTCCAGATGCTGACCGGGACCCAGGCCCTCCCCACTGGTGCGACTCGGCCGCCGACTCCGCCGCAGGTAACCCCTGTCACGGGACCCTCCTTCACCAGGATGCAGAATCCGCGCTTCTCGAAGGCGGATCTCATCACTTCCAAGTCCTCGCGTCCGATGAGTGCCTGGCCAGCCGCCGCATCGACAAGAGCATGGTCCCCCAGCTGCCGGAGAGGGAGCTCGGGTCCTGCAACGTGCGAACTCTTGAGCAGAGAGTTCCAGTCGTCCACCTGAATGTAGCTGTCGGCCTCCGGCAGCACGTCGAAGAAAAAGCTCTTGCTCGTGGAGTCCTTCTTGCCTTTCTCGCCGGCGATGCGATCAGCCTTCGATTTGAAAGGATTCTTACACGATTCTGCCCAATGCCCGCGCTCTCCGCAGTTCGCGCACCTGGCGCGCTCCTTCACGTCCGTCATCATGAGCCCTTTGAAGCCGGGACGGGCAGCGCGCTTCCTGTCGAAGAAGTCGCGGTCCACCTTCTTGGCGGCCTTCAGCCGCCTCGCCTCTGCCCACGTGCGCCTCTTGTCCTTGCCGAGTCTGTCCTCCACCACCGCGGCGAAGATCTGCAGCACCTCAGTCTCCCCGAAGTCCTGATCGTCTAGCGTAGCGAGGAAGACATCCACGTCCTCTTCGGGTAGCCCAACCGAGTCGTCGATCTCTGTCAGGAAGGTCTCGTCCTAGTACGGCTCCGGTGGTGGATGAGGGCCCTCCGAAACTTCAGCTGCGAACGTCTTGGCCACTGGCGTGTGAGTCGTCGGGGGGATGGGCTGATCTCTGACATCAAACTTGAGAAGGGCGGCCCGAATGGAGCTGAAGTCGTCCTTGCCTCCAGCCAACGTGCGCATGTTGATCTTGTTTTGTGCAGACAACCACGCGCCCTCCTCGGGACTTGATCGGATCTGGCAACGCTAAGTCGTACCGCTCGGCCTCGGCAATCTCCGCATCACGCCTCAAGACGAACTCCGTGATCGATTCTCCCTTCTTGATCATGTAGTTGAAGAGCGCTGCGTTGTGTGCCAGTCTCTCACGATCCCCGGGCCGCTCGCCGTTCAGGAGTGACAAATGCTTCAACAGTTTGCCGATGCCTTCTGCGGAGTCTAGATCCGACCTGATCGTCCGAAATTTCAGTTGCAGCTCCACAGGCAGACCCTCGAGCATGCGTCCTGATTGTGTCTCTGGTTGGAAGCCCGTGCGCCGAGTCCACGCCAACACGTTGTGCCTGTAGGTCTCTAGGTTCTCGAAATTGAGCCAGGGAGGGGGAGCGCGGAAATCTCGATTGGGAACCGCATGCGGGTTCGTCCAAGCCGCCGACGATGGTGCCCAGCCGTCGTCCCTGCCCCAGCTAGACGACCCATTTGGCTGCCACCGCTTGCACTCCCAATACCCCCGCCAGTTAGTCCACGGATCTGCCTGCTGATCTGGTGAACCTGATGACTCTGAGCGTCTGTCTGGGCCGTGGTGTCGTCGTCTCTTCGGCGGGCCCTCTCTGGAGTGGGTATTGACTGCCACTGGTCGTGTTCCTGCTGCTGTTCCTGCGCCCCCGTCTGCTGCTCCTGAACGCCCGCGCCCGGAAAGCCCATGTTCTCCGCCAGCCTCTCCGACATCGCTCCGCTTACCACTGTCACTGAAAGGATGGACACATGGATCTGCGAGTCGAAAGGGGGAGAGCGGAAAAGGGGCTTTTCTCGAGGCCGCGAGCTCGTGAGCACACGGTGGGAAGCACCTAAGCCAAAGTGGCTACACAACGGGGGCGGGGAGAGATCCAAAGCGGACGAGGGGGGAGGGCACACCACAGGCCCTCAAGGGCCTTGGGAAGACACCACTAGAGGCTTCGGTGGAGCTCCCTATGGGGCCACGAAACGCTGAACTGGGTGGGTGAAAATGCCAAATTGTGTGTATGTGTGTGTGGGACGCACGCGGGCGGCCCCACTGGGGGCTTCGATGGAGCTCCCTATGGGGCCACGAAACGCTGTGCTGGGTGGGTGAAAATGCCAAGTTGGGTGTGTGGGACGCATGCGGGCGGTCCCACTGGGGGCTTCGGTGGAGCCCCCTATGGGGCCGCGAAACGTTATAGCGGGTGGGCGAAAATGCCACAGTGGGTTTCCGGGACGCATGCGGACGGTTCCACTGGGGGCTTCGGTGGAGCTCTCTACGGGGCCACGAAGCGTCGAACTGGGTGGGTGAAAATGCCACATTGCATGCCGACGGTCCCACTGGGACTTCGGTGGAGCTCCCTATGGGGCCACGAAACGCTGCACTGTGTGGATGAAAATACCAAATGGAGCTTCCAGGGCGTAGGCGGACGTCCCACTGGGGGCTTCGGTAGAGCTCCCTTTGGGGCCACGAAACGCCGCACTGGGCAGGTGAAAAGCAAGGAGTAGGGAGGAGGGGGAGGAGGGAGAGGAAGGAGGGGGGAGGAACGCGGGGACCGTTTCTTCAAAACGAGGACCCGACACCACAGGATAATTGGGATAAAAAAACTCGCTCGAGATATCCTCAACCCGCTTCATATTAGACATCCGCCTGGGCGACCTGAGCGAGTGAAAACAAGTGCTTTACTCGACACGTTCTCAACACATTCGCATGCTAGACATCCGCCTGGGCAACCAGAACAAGTGAAACCAAGCGTATCACTTGAGGAATCCTCAACAAATCATAATGCTAGACATCTGCCTGGGCGAGCTGGACGCGTAAAAGAAAGCGTTCTACTCGAGGCGTTCTGAACACATTCTCATGCTAGACGTCCACCCGGGCGACCTGGACAAGTGAAACCTAGCGTCTCGCTCAAAGAAACCCTGAAGACCTGGGCACGTGAGAACAAGCATTTCACCTGAGATATCCTGTGAATTCTGGTCCCCAGGAGGAAAATCACCTTGGCGAAGGACCCAACCATATGCACTTGTGGGTACCGCAATTGTGGAATCTCTTCTTCGGTGAAGCTCCCTATGGGGCCGCGAACCGCTGCGCTGGGCGGGGGGGGCGCATGCGGGCAGTAGCACTGGGGCCGCCGGTGAAGCTCCCTATGAGGCCACGAAACGCTGCACTGGGTGGGTGAAAATACCAGATTTGGCGTGGGGGGCGCATGCGGGCGGTACCATTGGGAGCTTCGGTGGAGTTCCCCATGGGGCCGCGAAACATTGTAAAGGGTGGGTGGCAAATTCCAAATTGGGTGCGGGGGACGCATGCGGGCGGTCCAACTGGGGGCTTCGGTGGGGCTCTATGGGGCCACGAGGCACTGTACTGGGTCTGCGAAAATGCCAAATTGGGTATGGGGGAAGCACGCGGGCGGTCCCACTGGGAGTTTTGGTGGAGCCCCTATGGGGCCACGAAACGCTGTATTGGGTGGGTGAAGATGCCAAATTGGGTGTGGGGGACGCATGCGGGCGGTGCCACTGGAGGCTTCGGTGGAGCTCCCTATGGGGCCACGAAGCGCAATACTGGGTGAGTGAAAATGCCAAATTGAGCGTGGGGGACGCACGCGGGCGGTCCCACTGGGGGCTTCGGTGGAGCTCCTTATGAGGCCACGAAACGCTGTACTGGGTGGGCGAAAATGCCAAATTGGGTGTGGGGGACTCGTGCGGGCGGTCCCACTGGGGGCTTCGGTGGCCCCCCATGGGGCCACGAAGCGCTGTAATGGGTGAGTGAAAATGCAAAATTGTGTGTGGGGGGCGCATGCGGGTGGCCCGGTCCCACTGGGGGCTTCGGTGGAGCTCCCTATGGGGCCACGAAACGCTGGACTGGGCGGGTGAAAAGGCGAAGTTGGGTGCGGGGGACGCATGCGGGCGGCCCCACTGGGGGCTTCGGAGGAGCTCCCTATGGGGCGACGAAAAGCTGTGCTGGGTGGGTGAAACGCATGGAAGAAGGAGGAGGGAGGGGAGGAGGGGGAGGAGGAGGAGAAGAGGAAAGGAACGCGGGGACCGTCTCTTCAAAACGAAGACCCAACACCACAGGATGGTTGGGAAGAATATATATATATATATATATATATATATAACACTAAACAAGCGTTTGACTCGAGACATCCTCCATAGTTGTTGCAAAACAAACGTGTCGATCGAGACATCCGCAACAAACGAATACATATATATATATATATATACACATATATATACATATATATTACCATGCTTTCGATCGGCCTGGACTTAAACCAGCGCTTCGCTCGGGACATCCTCAACGTTTTGATTCGCCGGACCTACGCGGCCTCGCTATGCATCGCAAAGTAAACAACCCGGCCCTGCACAAGTTGAGGCCAGGCACTAGGTTGACCTACTACCCTGGACCCACGCCCTCTCCGGGAACAAAACTACATTGGCGAATGACCCAACCATATGAAGTTGTGGGTACCGCAATTGTGAATATCTTCTTCGGCGAAGCTCCCTATGGGCCCACGAAGCGCTGCGCTGGGCGGGGGGGGGGAACGCATGCGGGCGGTAGCGCTGGGGCCGTCGGCGCAGCTCCCTATGAGACCACGAAACGCACTGGGTGTGTGGAAATACCAAATTAAGCGTGTGGGACGCATGCGAGCGGTCCCATTCGGGGTTTCGGTGGAGCTCCCTATGGGGCGGCGAGGCGTTGCAAAGGGTGGGTGGAAACCAAATTTGGTGTGGGGGGCGCATGCGGGCGGCCCCGCAGGGAGCTTCGGTGGGGCTCCCCATGGGGCCACGAAGCGCTGTACTGGGTGGGTGACAATGCCACATTTGGTGAAGAACGCATGCGAGCGGTCCCATTCGGGTTTTCGGTGGAGCTCCCTATGGGGCGGCGAAGCGTTGCAAAGAGTGGGTGAAAACCAAATTTGGTGTGGGGGGCGCATGCGGGCGGCCCCGCAGGGAGCTTCGGTGGGGCTCCCTATGGGGCCACGAAGCGCTGTACTGGGTGGGTGACAATGCCACATTTGGTGTGGGGGGAACGCATGCGGGCGGTCCCACTGGGGGCTTCGGTGGGGCTCCCTATGAGGCCACGGAGAGCTGTGCTGGGCGGGTGACAGTGCAAAATCGGGCGCAGGGGGCGCATGCGGACGGTCCCACTGGGGGCTTCAGTGGGGCCCCCTATGGGGCCACGAAGCGCTGTACTGGGTGGGTGGCAATGCCAAGTTGGGTGCGGGGGGCGCATGCGGGCGGTCCCACTGGGGGGTTCGGTGGGGCTCTCTATTGGGCCACGAAGCGCTGCACTGGGTGGGTGAAAATGCCAAATTGGGTGTGGGTGACGCATATGGGCGGCACCGCTGGGGGCTTCGGTGGAGCTCCCTGTGGGGTCACGAAGAGCTGCACTGGGCATGCGAAAATGCCAACGTGGGCGCGCGGGACGAACCGGGCGGTCCCACTGGGGGCTTCGGTGGAGCTCCCTATGGGGCCACGAAACGCTGCAATGGGTGGGTGAAAATGCCAAATTGGGCATGGGGGGCGCACGCGGGCGGCCCGGTCCCACTGGGGGCTTCGGTGGAACTCCCTATGGGGCCACAAAACGTTGTACTGGGTGGGTAACAATGTCACATCGGGTGTGGGGGGGCGCATGCGGGCGGTCCCGCTGCGGGCTTCGGCGGAGCTCCCTATGGGGCCACGAAGCGCTGTACTGGGTGGGTGAAAATGCCAAATTGGGCATGGGGGGCGCATGCGGGCGGCGGCACTGGGGCCTTCGGTGGAGCTCTCTATGGGGCCACGAAACGCGCGCACGCGGGCGGTAGAGAGTAGGAGGGGGAAGAGGAGGAGGAGGAGGAGGAGACCTTAGACCTTAGACCAACTCATGGAATCCTGACTGCGCACCCTGCCGCACTGCACCACCGCCTGAACTCAAGCTGCAAATCGACACGCACTAGGACTCTGAGGCGGGTCACTACGGGCCCCACTTCACTCACTAAGGCGAGACCTTCGCTCACCCCAGCAGAGGCACTGGCCCCGTCTGACAGGCCAGCGGGCACGCAGCCCGCAAGAGGCCGTCAGCCCACAGGCTCAGGAAGCCCCTCTCCTCCCCCGCCCCTGCTCCGACCCACCACCCCGCCCCCTTCCTCTAGCAAACAACGAGCGGCTACGAGCCAGCACTACAGTCGGGATAGGCGGCAGCCCAGGGTCACTGCATGTTGCAGCAGTTCGCCCAAGTCGGCCCAGCACATCCGGCGCCACCAATCCTCTAGAAATCAACTCTTGCAGCCGCGAGCTCGCACTCAAGCTCCGTCGGACTTGTTCACCCAGGCCATAAGCCCCCGCTCGATGGGCCCCCATCAGAGCCGATCCCAGCAGGAACTCGCCGCCCTCGGCCTCGATCACCGCCTCCAGGTTTCGAGGCGCTTCCACACCCATTGGTTTGTTGAAGTCCGCCCTCGTCACGATGGCACACCTGTTCTCCCTGCGCAGGGGCTTGCACCTGAAGTACGGCACTGCCCTCCCGATCTCCTTCAACGGCATTTCCTCCCTCATGTGCTGTGTCCACCAGTCCTTGCTGTCCTGCTTGAGTGTCTTCTCGGCCTCCTCCGTAGACCCCGCTGTAGGAGCTCGCGCGGCGCAACTCTGCATTGCCGACGCAGATATATGAATGTGTGGCGGACCCCTCGCTTTGAAGTCCTGCTCCACTCCCTCGGCCTGCCTGGCCCTCATGTCCTTGCTCTGGTCGTCGCACTTCTTGCCTGACACAGCCAGGCACGCTGGAAGCCCTCGATCGAGGGCGATGTCCCACCTGAGGAACACGACGCTGGCCACGTCCCCGAGCTCGCGCGTCACGGTGAGCAGCAGGCGCACAACCTGCGCCACGACCTTCGCCATGTCCTCGCCGCCCTTGCCGCCCCTGTCGCCCTTCTTGGCCGTCTTCGCGCGGCCTCCCGCCGCGCTGCCTGCTGCTCCAGCGCTGGGCGGTTCTGCATTGTCGCCCTCGCGCTTCTTGCCGCTGAACCACGATGGCATCGCCAGCTCCATCTTGGGCCGCTCTCTGACGCGCACTATGTTCGGCACTGAATGGAGGCAACTTCCACGGAAGATGCTCATAAGCCAAATGGTTACATAAATCAGGGAGATCACCAGCTTCATAATCACATAATGGACACTTCAATGATCGAGGCTGGAGTGACCCCCCCAGTGCCCAAGGCCCAGCCGAACAACAACTGCCCCTCAGAATTGAGCCCAAGAGATGCCTCGAAGCTGTTATTGCATTCGACATACATGCCTGTAGTGCACGCATATGTCTGTCGGCGTGATCACATGTGCTAGACTACGTACATTATAATGAGCCCTGTAGTGATCCATTAATGCTTTGCGTGTGTGAAAAGCAGCCCCACATACGCCCGTCTCCGTACTTGCTCTACATCTAAGCCGTGGATCCCCATCAGGAGCTGCTGGAGGTCCCTCAAGCCTTTCAGACGCCAGCAGGAAACCTGTTGGTGGGACCTGAACCCGAGACCTCGATGCCCTGAGCACCCCCATATCTAGTGCACAAAAATCCTTCATCTCCCCCTTAGTATTGAACGTGTTCATGTCGTTGAGAAGCACATCGATCGCCTCGCTATCGACGACACCTGCGGCAAACTCGAGATCGCGCGTCATCTGGCTCAGCCACGGGGAAGCTGCATCGGATGGGGCCCCATCGAGCAACTGCGGTGGGAAACCACGCTTTGCCTCGCCCTCTAGGTCCCCGAACATCGAGCACAACGGCTGGATGTGATGATCGGGTCTCGCTGCCCAACTCTGGCACCACTTCAACCGACGAATCCTCATCTCACGCTCGCTGTCCAAGAGTCGCCAATAGAGAAGGACCTGGGAGTGGGAAAGGGACCTCGTGCGATGCCCCCCCCTGTGCGCGGCGCGACCCAGCATCGCCAACCGAGCCAGCGAGGCCAAGCAACTGCCCAAGCGACGGCGATCGGCCTTGCTGAGAACAAACGCTTCCAAGCCAGAGAGGATGGCATTCTGCGCATTGCCCACCAGCAAGAGCTTGCGCAGCTTAAAAGAGATCGCCAGCGACCAGATGCCGCCAACCCTGTAGAATGCAGTCCGCGCTGCCGAACATCTCCTAGCGACCTCCTGATGCTTGGAGTCACGCACCAGAATGCGGGGCCCCAGGCACCGCACACGATCCTTGATTTTGCCCCGGATGCCCGAGATACCGTTCCGAACCAGATGTCGAGCGCGAGTTCCCTGGGACGCGAAGTACGTCAAAAACTCTTGCTCCCCTAAGTTCTGAACGTACCCGAACAGCTGCAACACCGAATCGAAAACCTCGTCCATCTCACGAACCTTCCCAAATCAGTCCTTCAGGGTCATCTCGTCGGAGGCCACTACTGTTTTGTTTACATCATCTGCGTATTTCAACAAACTGAGGTCACTCTGGAAATCCTGCCATTTCGCAACCAAGAAGCGGGACATCGGGCCTGATCGACTCCACTGATAAGCCCATTGAAGCGTGGCCCGAGAAAAAGTACATAGGAATGCGGCCACAGCGAAGGGGGGCCCCACGACGCCGCCCTGGAACGGCTTGACCAACAGGGGGTCATATCCTTGAGGCTCAGCACGAAAGCTCGCCGAAGACGGCGCAATCGCCAGCAATTCAACTGGGCGGTGAAAGTAGCAGCCCCGCGCCTCCTGCGGGCGACGAAGCCATGATCCTGCTGAGAAGGTACAATCCTCAACGCCCTGGAATATAACGCTTTTCCTATAACAGGCAGCACGTGTACTACTCGCTTCCCTCGGGGACCATGTTGAGCACTTTTTGGAGGCCCTGCCCCATTGACTCCGATGCCAGCATAACGGGGCTTTCTGGAAGTGTCGAACCTTCGCGAGGCCCACTGAGAGGATCCACCAGACCCCGGAACCTTGGGCATGGACGCGCCATAACCTACTCCCTCTAATTTTTGCGAGGCCCTCCAGCTCGGGAATAATAGCTGATGCCAAAGTTCAAGAGGAGCACTGCCACATGGAACAGCCCGCCTCTTCGGGGGCCTCTTGATGTAAGACCTAATCAACTTCAAGTCCTGCTGGGCAAGCTCCTGTTCCTCCCCCGTTGCGCCCCGGTCGTAGACCTCCCCCTCCCTCTCTGCCCGCCAAGCGCCCCAGTCCGCCTCCTCCACCATCACACCTCCTTCACCCCCGGGAGCTCGCCAAACTTGGAGCCGCCCCTCCCGACTGGGAGGGGGCATCGGTACCAGGCGCCCATCCCTGTTCTTCCGGCCAGTTCTGCAACGAGCTGCACGCCTGGATAATGAGAGCGCTTCAGAAGTACACCTCCTGCGCCACTGCTCCGACGCCCCTTCAATCAACTGAGAAAGAAGAGATCGCGCAGCACGACGACGCTCAGCAGAGAGTTCAGCGGAAAGAACGCGGAGCTCATCATCCACCCCCTGTGCGTCTGTTCCTGACATGCCCAGCTTTGAGCCACGAAGTCGAACTCACTCCGCCAGCAGGTGGCGACGACGCTCGGCCCTCTCCTGATACTCAGGTCTGGTACGATTAGATACAAAAAATACGTTGCCCAGCTGTAATGACCGCATCATCCAACCGTTGAAATAGCTCATCGGGGGATGCTTGATCCTTCAAGAAGACGAAAGGTAACTCGTCGATCTCTTCCTTCGCCGCGGTGAGGAAGTCACGCCTGCGCGCGCCACTCCCCAATGACGACATCATGAGATCACGATTCCAGCCCACGCGAGCCGAAGAATGTCCTCCAAGCAAGCCAGCCTTATCATAAGTCATCGTGCACATGACTGGTAAATGATCCCGAGGGGATTGTCCTCGAACTGCCTGCAAGTTCGCCCCCGGCCCTTTCAGCGGATAGCACCCTCTCACCACATGTTGCATAGCCTTCGGATAAAATAAGTAATCGATGCGACTCGAAGCACCATCTGAACCGAAACAATGCGCTGTAGCTGGCCAGCCGCGATGCCCGCCACCATGTAGTGGGACCCCATCCATTCTCGAAGAGGTTGTCCTGCACCTCGAGGAAGGTGCTCCTGCGTGGGGACATCTATTACCACCGTTGAATCAACATCTTCCCACCCATGGGGTCCACGATACTGACCAACACCATCGTTGAGATCACAATATAGCAGCGGGGTACACCTATGTGGTAGTTCGCTCAGCACCATTGAAATCCATGCCACCAAGAGACGTACTGTAGCTAAGTACTGAGTGAGGCCGATGAGCGCGATACCTCGGACGTGGAGGACAGTAAACCACCATCGGACATATATCGCTTGGGCCGCTTTTTGCTCTAGCTGCCAGCGCTCTCCCTCGGGCCTCAGGGGGACTGACCCATGTTCTCATAATATTCTGCTCTCGAATACGACTACCAAATCCCAGTGCACACCCGCAGCTGTTGTTACTATACGGCGACTTGTAATACGGCGATTCAAGAAACAAAAGCCCTGCACATCGTTGTCTAAGAACTCGCAAACCCTGCTGCGGATAATCCACACACTTGGTCCCTGCCAAAGCCACTGCGTCAAAGTTTCGGGTCCCGTCCATTATCTCACTCAGACGATCGCCGCTCGCCCACAACGGGTTGAAACCCAGGAAACGGAGAGAAGACATTGCATCCCCCCGCCGAAGGCCCCACCTCGCCCGACGAGTGGGAGACTCCACCAGGTTGTCCTCCTGGCGGCGCGGCAAGCGGCGCTCTGTGCGCGAGCAGCTCGGACCGCTTGGAGGAGGAGGAGGAGGAGAAGGAGGAGGAACAGAAGAGGAACGCGGGGACCGTCTCTTCAAAACGAGGACCCAAAACCACTGGATGGTTCGGAAAAATCCTGGTCGGCGCCGGGTGTCGTTAGCCCGCTGGCCTCTGGCCAGGCCCTCGCACCAACGCGCTCCTGCGCGGGGTGGGGGCCACCCCGGGGGCGGCGACTCCCCTTGCTGTGGCTAAAGGCGGGGAGGACGTCGAGGTTGAACAGTGGAAGGTAAACTCGTCGGCGGCGCCAGTGGGCTGGGACGCTGGCCCGTGGACCGTCAAGCTTCCTCTGGGCCCGTGGGCCCCGTGCTTGTGGCGCCTGCCGGCTCCTCCCCCCGTCTCGGGTCGCCTGGCCTCTTGGAGCCATGGCCCCTGGGTGCCTAACCCTGCCCTGCGCAGCGGGTGGAACAATGGCTCTCTGGTTTCCCTTATTATAGCTGGTGATAAATATTGCCGAAATGGTCGCCGTTACCGTCCTGGTCGCCGTTGCAATGCTGGTCGATCTTGAAGTTCCGGTCTTCGTCGTCGGACTTTTTGTCGGGTTCGTGGCTCTGCTGGTCCCAGCTGGAGCTCTGCGCGTGCCAATCGGCGCCCTTCTGGTCCCCTTAGGTGCTCTGCTGGTTCTAGTTATATAGTGTTCTGCTGGTCCTGATTGGTGCGCTGCGTGCACCAGATGTGGCGTTGTTGGTCCCAGTCGGTGCTCTGTTTGTCGCAGTTGAGGCGCTGCGTCTGAGTCGACGCGATGCTGGTCCCAGAAGGTGGGCTTCTGGTCCAGGTCGGTGCGTTGCTAGCAGGGTGAGGAACACGGCCCAGACCTCAGCCATGTGGTCGCCCTGGCCAGCCGCATTAGACTGCAATTTCGGGTCGATGTGGTTTTCGACACTCCACGGTCGTGTCGATCACGGGTACGTCCTGGCTTGTAGGCGGTCTTATCATAGCTCATGTAGACGCTGGCGTGGCCGGACTACGCATGGGGCGCGGCCTGGCGTCGCGTTCGTCGCCGCTGTGGGCTGGAGGCCAGCGAGCCCACTCCCCAGGACCGGGGGGGCGTCCCCGCAAATGACAACTCTCCTCCTCCTCCTCCTCCACCTCCTCCTCCTCCTCCTCCATTTTCTCCTCCTCTTCCTCCTCCTCTTCCTCCTCCTCCTCCTCCTCCCTCCTCCCCTTTTCCTCCTCCTCCTCGTCCTCCTCCTCCTCCTCGTCCTCCTCCTCCTCCATTTCCTTTCCTTCCGCCTCCTCCTCCTCTCCTCCTCCTCCTGCTCCTCCTCCTCCTCCTCCTCCTCCTCCTCCTCCTCCTCCTCCTCTTCCTCCTCCTCCTCCTCCTCCTCCTCCTCCTCCTCCTCCTCCCTCCTCCTCCTCCTCCTCCTCCTCCTCCTCCTCCTCCTCCTCCTCCTCCTCCTCCTCCTCCTCCTCTCCTCTCCTCCTCCTCTCCTCCTCCTCCTCCTCCTCCTCCTCCTCCTCCTCCTCCTCCTCCTCCTCCTCCTCCTCCTCCTCCTCCTCCTCTCCTCCTCCTCCTCCTCCTCCTCCTCCTCCTCCTCCTCCTCCTCCTCTCCTCCTCCTCCTCCTCCTCCTCCTCCTCCTCCTCCTCCTCCTCCTCCTCCTCCTCCTCCTCCTCCTCCTCCTTTTCCTAGTCCTACTCCTACTCCTCCCCCTCCTACTCCACATCTTTCTCCGCATCCCCCCCCGCCACGAAAAAAAACGCCCGTCGGGGCCCCTCATGCCCCCCCGCAGCGCGGGGGGTCGCCTTGGCGGACGCGCCCGATATGACCTCCAGGGGCGGGACGGAGTCCGCGGGTAAAAGGCGGGGACGAGAGAGTCACGGCGCAGTCCTCCTCATCCTCCTCCTCCTCCTCCTCCTCCTCCTCCTCCTCTTCCTCCTCCTCCTCCTCCACCTTTCCCTCCTCCTCCTCTTCCCTCCCTCCTCCTGCTCGTCCTCCTCCTCCAACTCGTCTTTGTCCTCCTGCTCCTCCTCCTCCTCCTCCTCCTCCTCCTCCTCCTCCTCCTCCTCTTCCTTCTCCGCCCCCTCGTATGCTTGATTCTAGGATGACGATCATTACCCATATTCCTCCTCCACCTCCTCTTCCATCCTCCATCGTCATCACCATCACCACCACCATCGCCACCACCACCACCATCACCATCATCATCATCATCATCATCAGCAGCAGCATCATCATCATCATCACCACCACCACCGTCATCATCACCGACGTCAGCATCACCACCACCACCATCACAATCATTATCATCATCATCATCAGCAGCATCATCAACATCATCATCATAGTCATCATCATCATTCATCGTTACCCAACTACTTAGGCCCAACCGGGCCAATATCGTCAAGTAATGTAGTTCTCACTGTCGGGGTCCATGCTAGCGGGTTAATGGGCATCGTGGAATGTAGAAGGATATGTGTATCCCGTTAAGCTGTGGGTATGGAAAGTATACCGTATGAGCCCGCAAGCGCGGGGCGGGCGCGGGCCTTTTTCCTCTCCGAACCACAAGTAGCTACAGACAGCCAAGCATGTGTCTGCGCATGTGGTTATATATACATCGACGGCTGCAGGGAGCGCACGGTAACGACTCCCCCCGCGGCGGCCCGGCCGCAGCGCCGGCAAGGGCCGACGTTCTACCATCGGGGCCCTTCGTTCCCGACGTCGTCGAATTACAATGCTTGCGGGCGCGAGGCTCTCACAGCCGCCAGCAGCCCGCAGGTCAAGTGGCATTGATCACACGGCCATTGGCCTGTGATAGCAGGTATTGATGGAGGGGCGAAGCCCCACAGCCTCGAGCCCTTCCACATGCGCTTCTTGTCGCAGTCTTTGGCGATAAGCTAGGCGCGCATGCGCTGGCACAGCCTCCAGAACGCCATTGGCGTTAGGCGTCTGCTGCTTACCAGAGCCATGCACTGTCGCGGCGCCACTGGTCCCGGTCGTCGCTGCGGCGGTCGGACCAGTTGGCGCGGTCGCCCTTCCCGCGGTCTTTTCCCGGACCTTTGCTCCAGCCCCGGCTGCGGGCACCCCTCCACGCACTCCAGGCGTTGTCGGTAGGGGTTCGGCTTTGCCCTCTAGCCCAGGGGCGGCGCTGTTCCTCGGGAAGCTGCTGGGAGGACTACGACGCCGCGCCGCCAGACTCAGTTTGGCGGACGCCCCTGCACAGGCACTGGCGGACAGCGGGCGGCGAGGCCGTGCGATCGCTCCACGGCTCTCTCGGTCGTTTCCCGCCCTTGCCCTTGCCCGTAGCATCGGGAGGGGGTGGAGCGGCGCCGCTAGACGCACTGCCCCTGCCGCCCTCGTTCTGCGGAAAGGCAGCCGCCTGTTTCGCTGTCACCCTTGCGGGCGGTGACACCGAAGGACTACGCGGCCGCTTTCTGCTGATTGACCGCGAAGCCCGTGCGGTAGTCGCCGCGGGCTGGCGAGCCCGAGCCCCTCGCGCCATCGGCACACGTGAGGGGCGACGCTCGCCATCCGAGTCATGGGGCGGTGGCACTCCGTGCTGTGCCCACGTCTGAAAGGCGAGGACAGCAGCTTCATATACGTGCAGCGCCCACTTCTCAGTCGCCGAGTGCCTGAGCGCGTCGACTGTGAACTGTTGACCTCGGAATTGTGCGTCAGACTGAGACTGCAGCACGCATTCCATGCATGCCTCGATGGCAGGTGCGTCATCTATGATGGTCGGCAGGTCCTGCCAATTCATCTATATCTATACATATATATATACATATAATATATATATATGTCCTTGTGAACGATCTCGACTAGCGCGTGATGCGACCTAACGATGTCGAGCTCCCGAGAGTGTCTCACGGAACCTGTCCACCTCTTCGTGATGAATGCGTTTGGCATCATCACTTGCGTGATCCATGTCAACCAGTGCCCATTGAAAATCCTTCGAGACTTCGATTGTAGCTCTGAGTATTTGATCACCCAGCCATGTCTCACTTGCATCACCTAGGTCTGGGTCATAAGCACAGAGCTGCGGCGAATCACTCCACAGTGCGTATAGCTGTGCTTCACATGACGCCCAAGTGTCCGCCTTGTGGTGAGTAGGAGAGACGTTAAACGTGTCGAAGAACGCCACCAACTCATAGGCTGCCTGTCTGATACGGTACTGATTGACCCCGACGGCGAACAGCCCGGTTTCCTCCATCTTCTGGGGCGGCGAACTCTTCTTTTGGTCCCCAGAACTCCTAGATCTCATCTTCACCCACATTCAAGAGACTGTCGAGGCGCTCCGGTAGATGATCTTCGTTCTGACGACACCATTGGCGCCATCCCCCAGTAGGCTCTGGGAGACCCATAGCATCAGGGTCTGTTGTGTCCCAGTCAAAGATGTTCAGTATTCCCACGTCTGTACCGTAGTCCGTCCTGTCTATGCGCCGGGTTAGATATGCCCACCACTTCCATGGCGGGCAGATTGTGTTTTGTCCAGCTAGCCGGCAGCGATTATGTACCTGATACGACATCCATCGGTGCGCCAGCTTGCGCGCCTTGATCTCTCGCGCCTTGTTGCCATGGGCAGGGCGCTTGTCATTCGGCGATGCTGGTATCCATGCTAAGCCCGTCACGGCGGCATAGTATCGCGTGACGGCCCCGTCGTAGGCATCCTGTCTCCATCCCTCGCGGTATCGCGCCTGTGTGCGATCAAGATTCTTAACAACTGCTGCCCTGGAAATTGTCCGGCCGTCATTTCGTGCACAGTACGGACCTGGACTCCCTCGGTCTCTGTGAAGCCCTGCGGCTATCCAGTCAATCGCTGGTTTCATCTTGTCTCCAGATATCAATGATGCCTCGTAGAAAATCCCTTCACGGCAAACGACACATCGTATCATGCCGTACATCGGCTTGTGCCCCAAGTGACACACTAGGCATAGATCGTCTTCCCAGCCTGGTGCTTGCTGAACTTCAGCAGCGAGCTCTGCGTCGAAAGGACTCACATTGTGCCCTGCTCTGATATGCTGCTTTGACTCCAGCACTTCGATACACCCGGTCTTGGCGCGGGTGACGACTTGCATCATTGTCAGCCGTCTGTCATAAGTGACTTGCCATGACAGCTCATTGCCAGGCAATTCGGAAAACGTGAAGATCTGCCAAATGTTGTCCCACAACAGGACACTGTCCGTGAATATTTGGCCCGTCGGCAGAATCCAATGCTGGCGCGGCTCTAGGTGTCGTGCACTCATGGTGGCGAAGTTCTTGCCGTTGAAGTCCTGCAAATGTACGTCAAACACCGATCGCTTAGTCCTACCTAGGAAATCTTTAGAAGCCCCATCCTGATGTCGGAAGGTCGGGAATCTATCATCGCTTTCCTTGCGGATGCGTCATTCGTCTGTTTCTAGTAACTGTTTGGTTTCCGCGAAGCTATACGGGGCCTGTATTTCCCCGGGCGTCAGCGCGTCAAGATCATGGATCTCGCGCGCGTTCGGGGACATTGCCACCGTGTGCGCTACGGTGCCACACTGTCGGGTGCCCGTCGTCACGTCATATAGCGAGGCAACCCTCCCGGCCTGACTGTTCCGTGCGTCAGCGTCAGTCATCGGAATCAGTAGTGCACCGTGCTTCTCGCACATGCCAGGATCGTATCTGGCGTTTCTGCGGTATGGGCTCACGATTCTAAGCGAATCACCACACACGGCCCTAATCCGGAGAAGTCGTGTTGTCGGAATTAAATATAGCCTCTCCGCATCACTTCCCTGGGACGAGTCCGTGTCTCCGTCGATTTCGGAGGCTCCGAACCCTTTCTTCGTGATCTGGTAGAAGCTCGAGTCCCAGCCCATTGGACGGGAAGTGGGGCCTTCGTGGGCCGCATGCATTTCTATTCCCAGCATCTGCACTTTGCGCGGTGAAAGCGCAGCGACCGCATGCATAAACCGGGCCCACGGGCGATCGTAGCCGGCATCAGCGAGCATCTTTATCAGCGCGTCCACTTCCACCCGTCCTCCTGAACTCAGCACATGGGCTGAACTGTGTCGAACGAGATGAAGAGTGAGCTTTGCAAGACGGAATGCTTCACTGCGGCCTGGCCCGCTCGCTATAGCACACAGCTTCGGGCGTAAGTGTGGATACATCGGCACCAGATCATTGTCTGATCCAGGCAAACTGCGGCTCTCTATTGTGTTAAACCGAGCACGCAATATCTGTCTACCTTGGCACGCTCGTCTCGTGGCAAGTGCCTGATGTAATCCAAGAGCGTGTCGGCCACGAAGTCCGCATAGGCGGATAGCCAGTCACTTATTATTACGCGGGCCATGCGCTGGCTCGAGAGCACTGGCCCATTGTTGTGTAACTCATCTATCAGTCGCGCTTTTTCAGGGGTTAGTGCAGACATATTGTTCTGGCGGTACCCTGGCGATGCAAGAAGAGGGATAATTTCGCGATTGGCGAGTAACCCCTCATGAGCCAGCTCTTCGCGTTCTAGTCCGATCTGGGCTAACTCATATATATCCTCGTGCGTCGGCCACGGTGCCATCAGATAATATTAAGATATCTGCTCTTCTTTGGAAAGCGGCAGGTTACCGTCGATGAGGAAATCGCGTTTACCGAATGGCGTTCCCTCACTTGGATCATACGGGCGAGTCTGCGGGTCGATCTGTAACGCAGCAACAAGTTCCAGTCCGGTTGCTTCCGCGCTCTCTTCTTCTTTGCTAGATACCTCTTCGACATCGTCGGTGCGCTCACCTTCATGGTCGGCTGCAACGTCCGGCTCTATCTCCTCTTCATCTTCAGACGAGGAATCGTCGGACTCTTCGACAGTCACGGCCATGAT